CTCTCTCTCTCTCTCTCTCTCTCTCTCTCTCTCTCTCTCTCTCTCGTGTTAGCTCTTAGTCTCATTGATTTGCCTACCTTAGAGCTGCGTTCCCCGCGCCCACGCGGTAGATAATTAAAAAGACTCAGCATGATCTGCATAGAGCCTGATGATAGAGGCGCTTCTTGCATTTCCGGAGAGCAGGGCGAAGGAGAGATAGCCATGCTTGCGAAAAGAGATAGAGATAGATAGATAGATAGATAGATAGATAGATAGATATATATAGAGAGAGAGAGAGATGAGCAACGTATCGTTGCCGTTTGTGGGGACCTCGCAAGGGCGAACGTGCCGTTTCCGCGGCGTCAGCAATGCGCAAGTGCGACCGACAAAATTTTGTGTGCCCAAGGTCCAAGGCCCAACGCCGCTGTTTCGCCCACTACCGCCAACAGTGCCGTTTCGGCTACTACCGCCTGCCAAAAGCCCAAGGACCACGCCAACAGCGGTCATACGCCTCCGCGCCCCTTGCTAGGCCCCGAAAACAAAAAACACCACCCTGTCTCAGGGGGGGGAAACGCACCCCTGACGGGCTGCGAACTAGGATTGGCTGATAGGCCACTCCCTGTGGCAAATCGGGAGCAAGGTTCCAATCACCCAGATTCGTCCTTTCCGTGGCCGTCCATACTCGTGATGAGAAACAATCTGGGTAGAGGGAGCTCGACACGAGGTGGGCCCAACTGTGGACCTGTATACCTGAGAAGGCTGTGGAACTTTTTTCCCAGCTGAACTCGGCTTGAATGGTCCCGGCTCCGATCGTTGGTCTCTGCTCGTTCATTTCCAGCTCCAGATTCGAAAAGCCGACGGTCAAGATTGAGCAGCACGATTTCTATTTTCTTAGCGGTCGAAAAAAAAACTGTAGGGAACCGGCTCCTCGATTCGATCAAGGAGAGGAAGAACGTGGCGACGGGGGAGGGCAGGGGAGGAAGGGAGTAGGTGGGAATAGTAAACAATTGCCATTGCCAATTAATGGTTCGGTTGTAACTTCGTCGATTTTGCGGTGCGACTGTTCCCGTTTTGGCGGGCAAGGGTGTTGAAATCGAGGACAGGAAAAAAACGGCGTCACCCCTCAATTTCATAGGGTGAGTTCGTACTTGGAGTCTGAGAAGCTTGCCACTCTTTCGACGCTTCTCGGTTAAGAGTGGTGCGTGATCCCAGCTCCACTGCCACGCTTACACATGTATTTACGCTGCAGAGGGGGTGCGGGTGGTGATCAGTGGAAGGAGGAGGAAGAGGTTGCCTCGCAGACAAAAGGGGAGCAAAAACGGGAGCGAGCCATAGAGAGAAGTGGAAGGAGAAGTGGGAGTAGACGAGGGAGGAGAAGAGGGTAGAATCATAGACGGCGTATGTGTTTTTTGGGGCGACGGGACAGTACGCCCAGTCTTGGAGTTGATTGTGAGCACTGTTTATATTAGGAGAAGAGGGGGGAGGGAAGGAGCAATTGCTCCGTCTCCCTCTCTCTCTCTCTCTCAGAATCTCTCTCTGTTTCCTCTCTTCTCCCTATTTCTACTACTCCCTTCCTCTCTGGGCTCATCGCCCATTAGGAACGACAGCAAGTGACTGGATGCAGCTGGTGTTGGAGTCCTTTTCTGTCCGCGGCGGGAAGGGCGGGATTAGAAGCGCAAAGGGTAAATTTTTGTCTTGTAGTATACCTTCGTCCCTATTTTCCCGTCAGATTAAGGATTTGAGTTCGAGTTGAGGCATTCACAATGAGTGAGATCTTCGAAGGCTACGAGCGGCAGTTCTGTGAGCTGTCATCGAATTTGTCAAGGAAAATCGGGAATGTCGCTACGCTAACCGGAGGTAAGTACATTGGGCGTAGCTGTCGTTCTTTACTCTTTTCTGGGGTAAAGACGTATTGGAGTGGTTTATTGATTGGTGGATTGACTGGTTGATTGATTGATTGCTTGACTGATTGATTATCCATCAATCTGTCGTGTTATCTCTGTTTCCTTTGAAACGTATACCCCAGCAATGGGGTGCGAGTTCGCTGTCAGTGCCAAAGGAGCGTGGGTTACTTAGTGCGGCGTCAATCGGGCGAGTGTAAAGCGGTGATTGATGCTCGTCCAGGAAGT